TGTCTTTCAACATCTGTTCGCTGCAGAACATGCCCTGAATTACTTCTTCCAAAGTCTTCTATCACTCGCCGCTTTGATTCCTTACTGAATGATGGGCGACCTGACTTCTTAGGATCTGACAAAGATGATACTTGCACATATACCCATACTATTCTCCTCTTGAATTCCAGCAAGAGCATTTGTCCGTTTGCCTTGTAAAGCAGGAGTGGATTTATGACTGTCATATCAAGAAAGTTTGTGAAAAATGAAAAATACCATTTCTTTCCATGAACTTTTATCCTGTAGGTATTTATTGATGAGCCAATCCATTTTATTCACGCCACACGTGTACTTGTAATCGGCGATGCACTTTAGTTGTTCTAATGAGGCTAGCTGGTCCTTCTTCTGCTTGCTCCATCTCTTCACTTTTTCAATCGGCTCTACACCTTGTTGATTTGACAACATCTTGACATCGTTGTTGTCTTATCATACAACAGCAAAGATGTTATGTCTAACGTCTTAGCTGTAGTCAATAAAGCCCCTTTATTGCTTTTTCAAGGCTTTTACTCTTTGTTCAGATGTGAGAGGTCAGTTGTTGGTACGATTGAGCCTCACTGTCCCAGAAGCTGACACATTTTGTTCAGTTAGTAACTTCAATAGATCGAAACTCGTGAAAAAAATTGCCAAAAAAGGATACATGATCCGATGGATTACTAGCTTATGCAACTTTGTACAGGATAACTGATACTCCTAGTCCATTGACAGGCGATAAGTCTTCTTTCTTGCCTTCATAAAGATCAAAATCGAAACAGCTCAGCACCCAGTTTTTGAAACCGAACCGAAAAGGCATCTCTCTGATGAACTGCTCCAGGAAATGGTGTCTTAATATTGAACCATTTGCTCATCAATGCTCAGATTTTTGGAAAAAGTACCAAACATCAAGAAGAGTTGGTTTATCTTTTCAATTATAGGAGCTATCTCGAACAATTTTTGGCCTGCACGACTTCTCAATGTTGAATTGTCATTGAAATGATGGTTTTGCTTCAGCTCAAGCTACCGGTTCCGACTGTTCTGGTTCATTTCCAAACCAAAAACATGTAATGAAATGATTTATTTTGCATCATTTCTTCAATTTCCTTTACTAAATGAATGAAAATGTTGCTAACTTTTGTTACTTTATGAAAAATTTAGGTAATACATCAGTATGTGGTAAAATACATTTTCCTTGACTTTACGATATTCTTACTGCCCATGATCCCCAAATGGGGATCGGCATAAAATGCATATTTACTGCAATACTAACAGTATAATTGAGACTAACCTTACCATTTTCAGAAGAACATAGACTATTCTACCACCTACAATGGTATTATGAATCAGAAATGTTTATAAATGGGAAAAATGTACATGTCAAAAATTGACATCTCTGTCACATCACGATTAAGGTCACTTCTCTCAGAAAATTTCATATATTCGATTTTTCAGACAAAAGGATACAGTTTTAACTGATCTCAATTGATGTCTATAACCTTTATGTATACTTTATTGAAGAAGAACATGTTCCTGATCAATAGTTCCGGAATAATATCCACAAAATCAAACGATCCCCAATTGGGGATCATGGGCGCTAATGGGTTAAGATAATTTGACATGACCTCAGTTCCTCCCCTGCATAATAACAATTAAACAGTCAGCATAGTGGCAAATGAGATTTTTTAGGAATTATTCTGCTTATAATTCCCTGATCTACTTCAAATTTTATTAAATATTTATGTATGACAATGCTGGTATTCATGATACTTTACCATTCTACTAATAGGACTCTATTCAGTCAGAAAGAAAATCTAAAGTCTCTACTTTGCCATTATTTATTAGTGAGGCACATGGAATCTGGCTTACCTTCAGACTTTACTTTGCTGCCACCAGGAGACGCTTGAGTGAGGCTCTGCTCAGGGCATCTGTCACTCCTGACTGCAGCATTGGAGAGTTGGTGCAGCACAACACTTCATTTCTTGGTAATGGTTGCCATCACCAAATGTAATGAGAATTAGGAATCATTTATGTTGAAGTTTTTAGTAGATAAGGTTAGCAATGGAAATTACACTGGAGAGATACAGAAAATTGTACAGAGCAAAATATAGCTGCAAAAGAAGACCTTCATTTCAACCTTTGCCAAAAATACACTTCTCCTAAGTTACTTAAGTACACAACTGTTTGTTTGATGTATCAACAATCTTTGATGCACGCAACTTGGCTACATTAGAATGTTGTGTTACGTGACATCAAGTCAAAAGCATCGCTGGCCAGGCAGTGTGACTAGGGGCGTTTGTTGCAATAGGGTTCAGGAAAACAATAGTTCACTGATGGTCTCAACCTCCCATACAATCATCTTACCCCAGCTTTCTATTCAAACTTTTACTGTGTTTTTATTATTAAATAATCAGGAAACAATCACAACACAAGAAAGAACATAGTATGTACAGGGGAACAATACAAGAAAAACAGACCAGTGCAAAAGCAAGGTATGGGATTTCACTTAACCTTGAATGTCTCATATATTAGTTTACTAGCTTTAACCTAGTCAGAAAGGCTGAAGCGTTGCTGCTCAGAGTGTGATTCAGGCTTATCAAACCTAATGAACCTAAGGAGTGAACTTAATACACTACCATTACAGAAATACATGGTTAGATCTATGAATCATATTTATGCAGTGAACTAAGAAATACCACTCTGAGTTATACTCCCACATTAACTGATGACATGCGTTTGCACTTCAGGAAAGGGGGTTTGCAAGGACCCCTAGTAGGTATGACCTACTTCCTTGCACAGCAACAAAAAGAAAGCTTCCCACATCCATGCAAACTCCCATTATATCCTGGCATTGATGAGAATCCTCTACTAACAAACAAGTAAGGCAGCGCAAATCAATCTTAATTATTTTGTTGGACCTACATGTTTCTCTCAATTTACTAGTCACTATAATTGTTGCTATATAGATTTATTATAAAAATTCAATTCCATTCTCAAGTGGAACTGTTGCAATTTTTCATCCATGGGTATCAAAGACATCCAATCACACATTAAAACCTTTTATGAATTGTTCAAAATTTCTGCAACTTCCTTAGAGATAAGTTATTCATCCTTTACATAGGGAAATGGAATCTCATTAGATCACCTATTTTGTGCTTCCCAACTTCTTGGTGCAACATATGGAATAATTTCTTAGTTTACAAAAAATGCAGTATCTATATTATGGATGAAAAGTCTCAAAATTTGAATATTTTTATTATGACCCACCCAAGAGACTTTCACATTCATAGAGAAAAAGCATTATGACTACATTATGTACCACATAAAGTGTTAAAAGTGAACTCCAACAAATGGTCTGTTTAATTAATATCAAGATTTTTCATGTCCATGCCAAATGTAGAGATAACTGACCATAAGCCAAGTCCACAGACATGCCTTGTGCCTGAATATCTCTGCATTAATTTCCATTTAATGTCTGTGCCAGGCAACGTCAGATTAACCTGATACATACTCCGGGTCAAACTCCTTCATGGTCCGGATTAAGCGATTCCATAGTATGGGTCAAGTTCCTACACAGTCAAACTGCTCCATACGCAGAGTTTAGCTGCGGTGTACGAAAGGTTAAGCTGCTACGTACGCCAGGTTAAGCTGCTATGTACGCCAGGTTAAGCTGCTACGTACGCCAGGTTAAGCTGCTACGTACGCCAGGTTAAGCTGCTNTAAAAAAACAAACACCCTGTTTTAGCAACAGGTAAATGCGGTCATCCAGACAGCAACAAATGTATTGGTTGTGAGCGCAGCAGGAGGACTACTGCGCGGTTACAAGGATTGGACACAACCTTCTTCCTGACCATCTGTTGATTGAGATCGATTGTGCTACCCAGCTTAAGGGATAGTATAACAGCCGCCATAAAAATAGGGTATATTTTGTTCAAACTGTAAGATAATGAAATTAAGGAATCAGTCCTGCAGCAGTGAAATTAAGCTTATATATGAATGCAGTGAAAGCTCAAATATGATTAAGCAGTGAATATTAAGCTCAAATAAACCCAGATATATGAACAAGCCATTTTCTGGAAATAAGCAACTCATAAAAATAGAAGTACTAATCTTAAAACTTATGATATCATTACATTGGGTTTCATGTCTCTTTCTTTTTCAGTTAAATCAGTTACGTTTTCTTCAGTTAATTCTAACAAACAGAACATAAAATATATGTTGAAACTAAAGAAAGATATGAAATTCAGTGAACCAAAGCCATCACAAGATTTGAATGATTACTGAATTACTGATAAAGTAAATCTATACAACAATAAAAGAGTATTCTGCTGTCAGAAAACCGTCAGCAGAGTTAGAANCTACGTACGCCAGGTTAAGCTGCTACGTACGCCAGGTTAAGCTGCTACGTACGCCAGGTTAAGCTGCTACGTACGCCAGGTTAAGCTGCTACGTACGCCAGGTTAAGCCTGTCTCTTATACACATCTAGATGTGTATAAGAGACAGGTTGAATGCTTGCGAAGAAAATGTTTTTTCAAGTTTTCTTTTGTGGTGCAAGCATAATCACACTCACAGCACTGAAAAGGTTTATCTGTTGAATGCTTGCGAAGAAAATATTTTTTTCAAGTATTCTTTTCTGGCGCAAGCATAGTCACACTTGGAGCACTGAAAAGGTTTTTCGGTTGAATGCTTGCAAAGAAAATGTCTTTTCAAGTGATCTTTTATGGTGCAAGAATAATCACACTTGGAGCATTGTACAGGTTTTTCTTTGACAGGGAACTTGTAGGATGTTTCTATAGAATGCAAAGCATAATTGTGCTGCAGTAGACCACTCCCTGAACTAGAAACTAGAGGAGTCTTCAGAGCAGCAGTGAGGTCCTGATGCAGGATGTTCTAAATCAATGTGTTGCTGTAGACCACTCCCTGAACTAGAGGAGTCTTCAGAGCAGCGGTGAGATCCTGAAGCAGGATGTTCCATATCAATGTTCTGCTGTAGTTCGCTTGCACCTGCAGACACCAACCCACGCTGGGGACATCCAATCCTGATGTGTTGCTGGGAGCTGGACGCCCCAGAGACGTCAGCGTTGCCATCAGCATCTCCTGATGACGGTGCTGACCCACCTTCGCCAAACTAATGATAAAAATACAAAGTAAAACCATCTCCCATATTGATAACAGCTACAGTAAATTGTTGAATTTCAATATTGATCCTCTGTAAAATGCCTCAGATTTTGCAATAGAAATTTAAAATTACAATGAAAATTTCCCAAATTTGTGAATTTCTTGCACATTGTTCTGGTTCATGCAAGGATTACTCAAAGGTTATAATTGGTCTAAGCAAATGTGTGAATTAAAATTACCTGGTCTAAACTTTAGCTGTAGATTCTGGCCTTACCAAACCAAACACAGATAAAACAGCAATGCATATGATTGATCGTGTTTCGATTTAGATACATCAATCCCTGTTATTTCAGGTATATTAATTTAATTTATTTAATGGAAATTTCCTTAATGGAAATTTATTTCCATTAAGGCTATGGTTTTGCAAATGGCACTTTGACAGCATTTTTCTCAACCACCAAAATCTAGAAACCTAGAACACCAAATTGACAACAACCCTCATAATACCACACACATCCCTGTACTGCTACCATGCTACCACTTTCAAGTCAATATCAAGTACCCAACTTCTTTTGGTCGAACACAACCTAAAAACCCTTGGCATAACGTTTCATACCATGCACCTTTTTACCACCCACATAAAACTCCCATAGCACAAACCTCAGAACGCGATAATATACCAAAAGACCTCTTATGAACTTGTATGGACACAACAAGGACTACCTCTATTACAAACCTACTAAACCATCTGTTGTTCCATGATTGACGCCTGTCCAATATGGACCCCTATCACTTCTTCCACAAAATCAACACCTTCAAATAGTTCAAAATGCCAAATTGCATGCAATAACTGGTTGACACGACAAATCAGCAAACAAGATCTTCATTCAGAATATCAAATCCTTGATCCATGCTTAGGAGAAATCAAATGGACTGCCATCTATTTCTAAAAATATATAATCATAATTTCACAAGCTGGATTGATATGTACAGGGAAAATGGCATGTGTACCTAGTATCTCTACCAGTACGTGCTAGGTGTCTATTTTATACAATACTGTCAACAATAAAAAGAAACAATGGTGGTGAAAAATGACATGCGAGTATCTCTAAAAAATTTATTGTTTAATGTAAATTTGAGAAATCTTAAATTACCTATGCATACCTGATTTGGAAACAGAACAGGAATGTTCAGTGAAGAGTTTGGGTGGGCGTCATGCACCTCAACTTGAGCTTCCATCTTGCACGGCACACTAGAGGAGAGTGCAGGTGCAGGGCTGAGATGTGCAGTTGAACAAGCCTGGGGGGATGTGGAGGACAAAGTTGATGTGGCTGGCAGCGATGTGTGCATTTTACAAGGAAAGATATAGGAGTAGTATATGACTCTTGTGACTTACTGGTAAGAAATGGAAATGTTGATGTGGCTGTAGTAAGCATTTTATTAAAATGATATAATATAGGACTTCTCAAATAATCCTCTGCAAGTTCCTCATGTCACAACAGCACCTGAATGTGGTAGCATCAAAAATTACTGGCTATAAAATGTCTTCTCATATCAACGCCTCACAATGCAAATATTCCAAATGCCAGCCTTCTTATTAAAATGAACATACAAACACAAGTGGAAAATTAGTACAAAAGCAACCACTTTAATAAGTTTATGTTGGATCAAATTGGCATTCATAAATGGATTAAGAACTTTTTTATTTGCATTGACATTGCATGGCTTGAGTTAAGAAGTTATAAAAGTTGACATGAATGTTCTCCAGTACCTTTCTTTGCAATTGCCTGCTCTATTCTTTTTTATTCATTTATGTGCAAGAAAGAAGACAACTATAAGACAAAAATAGTGGAATAGCATTTAGAAAAGCAAATCTAATCAAGATCTTTGAATTTCTTATCAAGAATTGAATTTCTTTGAATTTCTTAATCAAAGTAATCAAGAATTGAATTTCTTATAACTGCTAATCAATTACTGAATCAGGATGAGGGCGCCTCATACCAAGTTATACTTGCAAAATATTTCAGACTCAATACTTGGTTAAGATTTGTTTCATGATGTCTAACTTAAAGATTTGATTATTGATATAGCATTCTGAGAATTTTTTCCATGAAAATCTATGCATAAATAAATGCTTTGCTTACCATTAATTTGCACATATATTCCACCTACCTCATCTCCATATAAGAATGGTTCCTCTTTGATGGATATTTCTTCAGTTTCATCCTCAGGTTCCTCCTTGATGGAGATAGCAGGAACTTTGAGGACTGGTGGAGGATCAACCTTTTCCAAGGCTGGAAAATATATACATTGGTGTGCTGGTACCACTGGGCTATGGAGCAAGATATCACATAGTAACTATAATGCTCACTAAATTAATGAGTCATGTGAGCTTTAGAAAAAATGATAATATCACTCAGATGAGCGAGACACACGAGGTGGCATATTCCAACACAATGTTATCAAATATAGTAAGTGGTGAATAGATAATTTATGCACTGAAATCATAATTTTTATATATAATTAAAAAAATAATAATATGTGACGAATTCGTCACATCCGGGTGTCCATTTGAGTTATATAAACAATATTTTTTTTAAACATTTATTCAAGCACCGAAACTGAACTGTATTACATAAACATTTGATAGAACCGTATACTAAGCACATGCATCGCATATAAATCCTTCGTCATAAAAGCTATAGCACAAAAATTCCTCATAACCAAGAGACAAATTATTGAAAATAAGCCTCCATTTTAGCATTCCACTCGGCATAAAATTCGAGTAGACACATTATTCATCGTAATTCTCAAAGCAGTTTGACTTGGCAGTCAGGCAAAGATTAACGTTACACTTTTTACACATAACATTGGTTCTCCCATTGCAGTTTGTTCTCTTGCAACGATTTCGTTTTGATCAATACGAGGCAAGTGTCCGATTCCATCTGTTCGTGTAGAATCAGAAGGACGATAGCAGCTTTTCTTGCGTGCATTGCTGGAATCTGGGGTCAAAGAAGGTTTTCCTCTCTTCTTTCCATTGCAAACCTTACCTGCTTTCATAAGGTCAAAGGCAATTAGCAGCTTGAATGATGCTAATGACAGGATATCCTTCCTCGGTAAGTTGAGACTGGAGGCATCACGTCTGTACAGCAGCCATGAGTTTACGACGACCATGTCAATCATGTGAAACACTAACCTCATGTAGTATTTCTTTGGCCGTATAGGTATCCTGTACAGTGAAATAAGTTGATCAGCTAAAGCTACTCCTCCCATTGATTTATTGTATTGTTTTACAATATCAGGACACTGCACTTCAAAACGAGTCTTGTTCTTTGAATAACGTGAAATTTTTGTCACTGGTTCAGTTTTAGCAAAAGTGGAAATCATGTTTACCACTCTGTTGTCGAACCATTTCACGTACAATGCTTCTGAATTATCTTGCACTATTTTTGCAGCTTCATAGGCTCCTCTGCCATTTTTTGTGATCTGCTTCTGACACTTCATTTCCTTTGTAAGTCCAGTTAATCTTGATGGTCTAACTGTTCCACAGCTCCATATTCCACGACTTGCCAGGTGATCTACCAGTGGCAGTGAAGTGAACCAATTATCAAAGAAAAGGTGGTGATTCACATTTGAGGGAATTATTTGGGCAAGATGCAAGACACTGTTAGAGCTGGGTTTGAGATCTGGAACATCAGGATCCTCTACTGGTTTTATCCTTCCATTGTATGGGATAAAATCATAGGTCATGCCTTTTTCATCTGCTAACACGAAGAACTTGTACGCCCATTTTTTAGGCTTGTTAGGTATATATTGCTTTACTGGCGACCTTCCTTTGAAAGGAACAAGCTGCTCGTCCACACAGAGATTTTGAATCATTGGAATGTCTTGAAACTTTTTACGCAAATGATCTATCATTGGCCTAACCTTCAAGAAATTGTCAGCATTGGCAGGATCTTGCATAGTGTTATCAACTAAGTGAAAATTACTCTTTATGGCTTCAAATCTGTCTCTGCTCATTATATCACTACAAATATCGGTCAATGGTGATAGTCTTTTGCACCAGTGCATTGATGTATGTGGGAGTTTACTGATAGAGAAGTAACAAATCAATCCGAGCCACTGTTCCATCTCATTGTGAGTTACATTCAATGGCTTATTAACATTTTTTTGAACAGAATACATATTTGTTTCTGTAACTATCACGTCTAGAAAATCGTCAGAGATGAATTGCTTGAAGTACTGAAAAGGAGGAAGTATTTCATGAGAACAGGGAAGGTCTTGTCCTGAGAATTCTAGAGTTACAGTTTCAGCATCCTGCACAGTAGACCATTTGCTCTGGAAGTCCCGTTTTTTTGCACCTGCGTCTCGAGAAGTTGCTGCCATGGGGCCTTGTACTTCAATTACAACTGTTGAGTCATCATGAAGCTCCGCAGATTCATCATCAGATTGGTTGCTTTCATCATCTGAAACAATAATTATAAAATGAATATACAAATTATTACATGATTTCAACATAGAAAATTACTATGAACATTGAAGAGGTCTGTGTCAGCAGACATCTGCTATATTGAATTAATTCAAAAGTTTAATGAAAAGAATAATGAGAAAATCAGTGATGACTTGCATAAAATTACATGAAGACTGAAATTTTACCTTGGCCTTCTTCCTGCGTTCCTTGGCTTTCTTCCAATATGAATTCAGGATCTGCGACATCATCATCCAAATCTTCTTCATTTGATTCATCACTTTCAATAACACTGGTGACAATAGTTATTTCTCTATCTCGAGTTTTCTTTCTGCCGTAGAACGATCTTGCCTCAAATGATAACTCTGGAACACAAAAGAATATATAATAATAATTTATACTGGGGTTCACTGTTCTAGGTAGTTCCTCTACTGATAGCCTAATGTAACCAAACCTAGATCTTCTATTGAAAACATCAATAACACGTGCTAAATACCAACGGTAAAAGAAGTAATAGAAATTTCTGAACAAGTACCCCATCTTCGAAATCTTGCTGGTACCAAGGATGTGACAAATTCGTCCCAACCATTTAATCTATTGCTATTTTTCTTCTAGCCAACTTTATTATTTTGTAGTCTCTTCCAATAGTAGGTGCTTCATTGTTACAAAAATGTAACATTTGTAGGAGCAAGAGGAATCTGTCCCTACTCATGGTTGATGAAACGAATTCGTTCTGATACAATTTTCCTTTGGACCAATACAATTGGAGATCGGGCAGTGGTGATAGTCCCATATAGATAACGAGTCCAATGAACTTTTCTATTTCCTCTTTGTTTGTCGGAATCCACTGCTGCAATTTTGAAATACGTGTCATACTAGTGGAACAAATTTTCTGCTCTGCATAATGATTTGTTTCTTGAACAATTAGGTTTAGAATTTCATCAGTCAGGAACTGTTTATATATATCAATTGGCCAAATTTGTTTATCTGTCGATGATGGTCTAGCTTACGCAAAGCTCCTCAGTCCCTGGAAAGACATGTTTTCGTACTTTTCTTGTCACTTTCATCCAATCATTTTCAGCTGGAATATCGTTTTCATTGTCTTGACTTTCGTTATCAACATTGCTTTGATTTTCATCGATACTGTCTTCATGCAATGAACTGCTTCCTGATTCTGAAAGTGCATATTCAAGATCGGAACTGTCATCACTGCACCCTGAAACGATATCTTCAGAACTAGAGCTAGCAGTAGTAGTAGATCTTTTTTGACCCTTATAGAAAGCAGAAACATTCATGGTCACACCTACAAAAAATATCAATTAATTAAAACATTGAACAAACAACTTATGCATCGTGAATTCAACATATACAATTTTTTAACATGGGACCCACTGGTGGGTCCCATCACATTACAACAAAAACATTATCTTCAGATGCGATGGGACCCACCCGTGGGTCACTGTTTTTCTTACCTAATCAAGCTGTAACATATGAGAACAAAACTCTGACAACCTCACTCCGAGCTATCTCAGATGCAACTGAAGTTATCATACATATACCACCGTCGCAACAGGAGAATAGCATCGATATTGGCCGTCGCCGTACACGTAACACAGTGGTGACCCACCGGTGGGTCACATCGCAGGGAACGTGTTAGGGGAAATGAATTGTCATATATTTTTGAAGGCCAAAAATTGTTAGGTCTCACTAGCAGGATTAAATGCATTGGGAAAATGACATTTGTTCCTAGTGTCACTACCAGCACCTATTAAATCATCAATTTTATCATTAGTAAATACCCACAATAAATTGAAACATTTGCCATCTTAAGGAACTGGTAAAATGTTTCAAAATTTTCAGTTATAGTGTGTAATAGTGAAAGCTAAAATTATATATATATAAACTTCTAACCAATTGGGACTGGAGGGATAATCAGGATGAGGGTTAGGGTTCTTCATACTTGATTATTATTGCTCAATATTTCAGACTAAATACTTGGGTAAGATGTCTCCTGATGCATAATTTAGAGATTTGATTACAGAAATAGCATCCTGCTGTTCATTTATTGAAAATTTATGTGGGAATTTTTAATAATTTGCCAAACATTTATTTGCATATCAACTAAACTTACTTTATTTCCATCTAAGAATGGTTCCTCTTTGATGTATACTTCTTCAATTTCATTCTCAGGTTCCTCCTTGATGTAGATAGCAGGAACTTTGAGGACTGGTGAAGGATCAACCTTTTCCAAAGCTGGAAAATATATACATAGGTGTGCTGGTACCACTGGGCTATGGATCAAGATATCTCATAGTAACTATAATGCTCACTATATTAATGAGTCATGTGAGCTTTAGACAAAAGTTAATATCACTTGGATGAGTGAGACTCATGAGGTGGCATATTCCAACACATTGTTATCAAATATTGTACCAAAACTCATAAGAAATAATTACAGATGAGAAATAAATCTGACAAATTTACATGAACTCAGTTCCTCCTTTGCATAATAACAACTAATTTGTGATGCACATGGAGTCTGGCTTACCTTCAGACTTTACTTTGCTGCCACCAGGAGACGCTTGAGTGAGGCTCTGCTCAGGGCATCTGCCACTCCTGACTGCAGAATCAGAGAGTTGGTGCAGAGCAACACTGCTTTCTTTGGACGCCATCACAAAATGTGATGAGAATTAGGAATAAATTAGGTTGAAGATTTTTAGTAAATGTTAGCAGCAATGGGAATAACACTGGAGAGATAAAGAAAATTGTACAGAGTGCACTTGAGTGGCTCAAAAGGAGGCCTTAATTTCAACATTTGCAACAAAATTCACTTGTCCTAAGTTACTTAAACACAATTATTTGCTTGATATATCAACAATTTTTGATGCACACAACCTGGCTCCATTTGAATATTGTGTTACATGACACTAAGTCAAAAGCACTGCAGGCCAGGCAGTGTGCCTGAGAGAATTTGTTGCAATAGGGTTCAGGAAAACAATGGTTCAACTTTCTTACTCAAGCATTCTATTCAGTCATTTATCATGTTTAATATAAATCATATAATAATAAATAATCACGAAGCAATCACAACAAGAAAGAACATAATAAAGAATTGATGTCACTTGTTTTCTTAAATTAAAAATTAACTAAAAATTTTAAAAGCAATGAATAGTACACATAAATACATATCATTATAGAAAACATTTTGGAGACCAGCTCCATCTTCAGTTCGTAGAATCAGTAAAATGTGGTAAAGGGAACAGTGAAAATTGTCACTGTTCCCTTTACCACATTTTACTGAAAATTTTTACAGTGAAAATTTTCACTGTTCATTTTACCACATTTTACTGATTCTACAAACTGACAATGGAGCTGGTCTCTGAAATGTTTTCCATAGAGATATGATTTTTTGTGGAATTGGTATTCTTTGCTTTCAAATTATTAGTTAAGTAAGATTATAGTATGTATTGAGAATGATATAAGAAAAAGAGACCTGTGCAAACCAAGGTATGTGTTCCACTTAACCTTGAATGACTTGTATATCAGTTTGCTAGCTTTAACCTAGTCAGAAAGACTGAAGATAATCAAACCTAATGAACCTAAGGAGTGCACTCAATCCATTACCATTACAGCAAAACGTGGTTAGGTCTATGAGTGACTTTTATGCAGTGAACTAACAATCACCACTCATAGTTATACTCCCACATTAACTGATGACATGCGTTTGCACTTCAGGAAAGGGGGTTTGCAAGGACCCCTAGTAGGTATGACCTACTTCCTTGCAGAGCAACTAAATGAGAGCTTCCCACATCAATAAAACTCACCATCATAGCCTGGCATTGATGAGAATCCTCTACCAACAAGCCAGTAAGAAAGTGCCAATCAATCTAAATTATTTTGTTGGACCTATGGGTTTCCCTAAATTTACTAGTCACTATACTTGTTGCTATTTAGATTTATTATTAAAATTCAATTCCATTCTCAAGTGGAACTGTTGCAATTTTTCATCCATGGGTATAAAAGACATCCAGTCACACATTAAAACCTGTTATGAATTGTTCAAAATTTCTGCAACTTCCTTAAAGATAAGTTATTCATCCTTTACATAAGGAAATGAAATCTCATTAGATCACCTATGTTGTGCTTCCCAACTTCTTGGTGCAACATATGGAATAATTTCTTAGTTTACAAAAAATGCAGTATCTATATTATGGATAAAAAGTCTCAAAATTTGAATATTTTTATTATGACCCACCCAAAAGACTTTCACATTCTATAGAGAAAAAAAAACATTATGACTACATTATGTACCACATAAAGTGTTAAAAGTGAACTCCAACAAATGGTCTGTTTAATTAATATCAAGCATTTTCCTGTCCATGCCAAATGTAGAGATAACTGACCATAAGTCAAGTCCACAGACATGCATTGTGCCTGAATATCTTTGCATTAATTTCCATTTAATGTCTGGGCCAGGCAACGTCAGATTAACCTGATACATACTCCGGGTCAAACTACTTCATGGTCCGGATTAAGCGATTCCATAGTATGGGTCAAGTTCCTACACAGTCAAACTGCTCCATACGCAGAGTTTAGCTGCGGTGTACGAAAGGTTAAGCTGCTACGTACGCCAGGTTAAGCTGCTATGTACGCCAGGTTAAGCTGCTACGTACGCCAGGTTAAGCTGCTACGTAAGCAAGATTTGAATGGTCAAGTACAATCAAAAAACAAACACCCTGTTTTAGCAACAGGTAAATGCGGTCATCCAGACAGCAACAAATGTATTGGTTGTGAGCGCAGCAGGAGGACTACTGCGCGGTTACAAGGATTGGACACAACCTCCTTCCTGACCATCTGTTGATTGAGATCAATTGTGCCGCCCAGTTTAAGGGATAGTATAAAAGCTGCCATAGAAATAGGGTTGTATACGGAATAATTAATATAATATTTTGTATATTTATATATAAACGAGCAGCAAAATTCAGCTCAAATTGAACCAGATTTATGAACGAGCCATTTTCTGGAAATAATCAACTAATAAAAATAGAAGCACTAATCTTAGAACTTATGATATCATTACATTGGGGGTAGCTTTTACTAATCTTATTCAGTTAAATCTACCAAATAGAACGTAAAAGAATTGTTGACACCAACATAAAATATGAAATTCAATGAACCAATGCCATCGCGAGATTTGAACGATTACTGAATTACTGATAAAGTAACTCTACACAACAATGAAAGAGTATTCTGTTGTCAGAAAAACCGTCTGCAGAGTGAAACCGCCAGTTAGCAAACCTGGCAATAACAGCAACACTGTTATCCCTGGGAGCATGACTGCCACTCTGACAACACTGACGCCTGCCAGCCCTTAAAAGAAGGCTTCAAGCCAAAATAGCTGCTGATATTATATTAAAGTAGCATTCAAACCCCAATGAGCAAAAAGTACTTGCTCTCCATCACCATTGAAAGTTTCATTTTATATTCAAAACGAAATCCGAGCTCACACAACAACATTTTAGAACATTCTATTATGCAC